GCCTCGGACAAGTGGGAAACGGCCCAGGGTGTCCCATTTAGCGTTTTTCCCATTTATCCGTTGTCCCATTTATCCGAGGCAATTCACACGCCTTCTGCTTGTCCGTCTGAGTCACCAGGGCATCGCAGCAGGCCACCTGACTCGCCTGGCGTCGAGCTCGGCCCGGAAAAAAGAAGAAAAAAGCAATCCGGCCGGCGGCGAGGATGAGGAGAGCGAGCAAAGCAAGTGCTTGAGCGTTGCTTGGGCGAGACAGACAAACAGGATTGATTCACTGGCGACTGAGTGATGGAATGCGACGAGCTATCGACAGATTGAGTGATGGAATGTCCAAAAACACACATGACTCATGCAGAGACAGCCGCTCACCACACAAATACACCTTAATCGATATCTAAGTTCACCTGCCCACCACTATCCTCCTCTGCCATAGCCTGCCCGGCATCCATCTCTCGCTCCACCTCACGAACTTGTCTCACGAAATCTAGGGCCCGCTCGCCCGTCTCCTCCATCATCCCCTCCTCTCCCTCCCCACCCGCATCATCCATGCCACCTCTCTCCCCTCCTCCCTCGCTGGGCTGAGCACTGACGTGCATCGTAGCCCCGCTGTATGCCCGCATGATCGGCCTCCCTCGATCATCGATCGGCCTCCCTTGGCCATCGATCAGCCCTCCGTCCCGATCAATATTCACCCACCGGTGCTCCCCCGACTCGAGAGTGATGAATCTCTGATGAGGGCGCAGTGGGGCGAAGGGCTGATGCATGTATGGCGATGGCGCCAAGTACATGGGCGGTGGCGGGTATGGCAAGCCCGGTGGCATGTCGATAGGCGGTTGTGGGTAAGGCGGGGCAGGCGGCATGTCGAAGTCCATCGCAGAGGGGCCCGGTGGGTAGGGGAAGTGTGGCGGCACGTTCATGACCGTTTGAGGGGGGTGGTGCGGTCGATAGAGGAAGGGCGGCGGCATGTGCGCTGGTTCTGGCGGGTTGAAGAAGGCTGGCGGTACTTGGCCCGCCTGGCGCCGAGAGGGCGGTTGCTGCCGGGCGAGCTGGTCGGCCGGCAGCATCAGAGAGCGCTTCTCCAGCTCCTTGAGCATCGTCTGCTCCAGCCGCACGCGAGCCCTTCTGCTTGAGCAAGAACGCCTGACATTCCCCATCCTCTCGGGGGTCGCGCGCTCGCCGAGCAGCCTGCACGATCTCACCGTCGGTCAGCGGTTTGCCGTCCGGGTCCATCGCCTCCTCGCCCACTTGCTCCTCAATCTCTGCCAGGATCGACTCACGTGTCTCCTTTGACCAATGCGATGGCAGGATGTCAGCGTCGTCCAGGGGAGGCATGTCAGCCGATGGAAGCCGGTGGCCGTTCCCTTCGCTGCAGAGCACGTCGGCCATCACTCCCATACATGCCGCATCGTCGAATGGCGCCTCTTGGGAAGTCCCTCAGCAGTGCGGCGATGGATGTGCCGGTGGGTCGATAGTCGCCCAGAGAGAGCCGATGGTCGGGCGAACAGGTGATGAGGGCCTCTGGGTGGTGCGGGCGCTGCCGGACGCACTCCGAGTGCGCCTCGCACAGAGAAACCCGGGGGTGGCGGTAGATGGGGCGACCTGACGGGTCGCTGTGCGGCGACGGCGCCGTCCCAGAAGCTGTCGAAGATGCCATCCGCCCCGGATGGTGGCGGCCTGAGGCTCTCCTCAGCTGCATCCGCACCGTGGTGTGTTGGTGAGGCCTGTGTCGAGACAGGTGGCGGGTTGTAGGTGCAGGGGCGGCCGTGGAGGGCCATGAGGCGGCCGTCGACGGCGCAATGGTTGAGATTGTGCTCCAGAAGGCCAAACAGTGTGTGTCCCTCGCGCACCATCAACTCCTGCCGGTCCTCGCCCCGTTGCTGGCGGCCGATCAGCGAGCGAGGGAAGGTGGCGGTGCAGCAGTCGGCCGTCTGGCACTCGAGACGGCCGGCGATCTCCAGGAAGTCTAGGTCGTGCAACAGCTGATAGAACCGGGTCTGCACTGAGTCCCCCATGGGCCTGCATTGATGGATGACATCACAAATGTGGGCCATGTGGCTGGCGATTGAGCTTGCCGACGTCGGGTCGACATGCAGCCGCTGAACGACGGGTGCTGCACACATCAACCATCAAGAGTGTATCCCGTTTCCGCCCCGCCATCCTCTCTCACGTGGCCAATAGAGGTCAGTGGTGCAGTGCAGCACGCGGGAGACCCTCTCCAGCCCAATGGCAGGCCCGAGGGATTGGAGAACGCTGTGCTTCACGCGGTAGAAAGCGGAAAGGTCGAACAACGTGGAGAAGAAGCTCATCGCCGATAAGAGGGGGGACGGAAGGTGCGATGATGACGTCTACGGTTCTCGAGAGAGGCGGAGAGGCTCTCGAGAGAAGCACTCCTCACTCCGCTGGTGAGGAGGGCCGCAGGCAGCCTCCTTCTCGTCTGACGATGGGTTTTGTCTCGCTGTTTCACTGCAAATGCTACTGTGGGCTCAAAGGCAAGCCATTCATGCCGCTCCGCAGCTTGTTTGCTTCGCTGCTTCTCTTGTGCCCACTTCAGCGGCCCCGATCTCGCTTGTTTGTGGGTATTTGACGGTAAAATTTGGTTCACAGTGATCAGTGAGGCACGCTGGACATCGTGCAGGTCATTGCGACGGCTCACAATGAATGAATGTCACCGGCTTGCCAAATGCGTCAACGGTCACAACGGTTAAATGGGATTTTCCCATTTAAGCAGGGTCCCACTTATCCGAGGCCCACTGTAGCACGTCAGCCTGATCTCATCTGTGCCAGACCGCTTGTACACAAGGCGAGCATCCATTGTGTCCTTCAGGTAGCGCATGAGGTGCATGAGCGCCTTCCAGTGCCATTCGCCCGGGTCATTGTTGTGCATGGCACACTCTTTGACGGCGAATGCGCAGTCTGGCCTCAATGCGCACGCCTCGTACGTCACTGAGCCGACGCCTTCTCTGTAGGGCAGTCGATTCATGCGCTCTCGCTCTTCTTGTGTCTGAGGAGACTGGTCCTTGCTCAGTCGGTGCGTCTGCGGGCATGGTTGACTGACGGGCTTGGCTAGTAGCATTCGGTACTTCTCGAGCATCTTCTTGATGTATGGTGCATGCGAGAGTGCCACTTCGCCCTTGTCAGCGTCATAGTCGACATCCAGTCCGACAAATGACTTGATCTTGCCCAGGAAACGTGCCTTGAAGCGAGTGAGGATCATCTGCATGAACCACTCTGGGTCATTGTCGCCTTTGGTGGGAGCCCAGAAGATGTCGT